TCTAATATACCCTTCGAATTAAAATTTCAAAAAGATTACTTATTGTTATACTTTTAGATGGAAAGGCTTCTTCTTGTAATACCCGGTATTTTTAGGTAACTGGCTTAGTTAATAGTTAAATATAATACAACTTAATTTATTTTATATTAGTGGGGAGATAAATGTCATTTAGGTTTCAACACCATTCTTTTTAGTTGTGCTTGTTGGCAAGTTTAGAGGTAAGAAATAGGACCTTACGTAAATTACTAAGGCCATGCAAAGCTACATGAGAACTTATAAGTGTATAGCCTTGATGATATAGCCTAAGATATATTGTCAAGTCATGCTTGATAGATTAATTAAACGAGAGGCCGTTTGGTTGGAGGATTCGTTTTCTGATTTGAATCATAGTTCATGGTTCGCTACAGTATTTTCTCTCACAAAAAATACACGTAAATTAAAAATGATTCTAATCTCATGGTTCTAATACATGAATCAAACGGGCTCTAATAGTTGGCGTTGAAATAAGGACGACAAACCATGGAGATAGCACGTGAAAATTTGAGTTAGTGACACCCTACAAGTTTAAGTTAAGATCAATCACTTATTTTCTTCACAAAGATTTATCTACTTGAGTCGTATATATATAATAGGAATGTCGAAGGCATGAGACATAGTAGCCGAAGTAGGAAAAACAGAAAGAGAGAATAGAGAGAGTCCTATTTATCTTGTTAAATAACTAGAGCACTTGAACAAAAAAAAAAAATTTAAAGTAAGTTTTCAGTTTATATATGTTAATTACTTTTATACGATTTTAAAAGTGTTTTTTTTTTGTATATAATGTGAAATCTTTTGTTTATTAGGAATAAACTGAGACATGATAATGGTCGAATCCTAAAAAAATAAGAGATTTCAAAACAAAAACCATATGATAGAGGTTTTTATAACATAAGATTAATATTATACAAGAAGACCCTAAATATTGAACAACAATATTTTGAAATTAGAAATTAATTTATGGTTTGCTTACAAAGCTGTCGCTCATATAGTTCTTGTGATGCATATAAGTTGGATAATTGAAGTTTCAGTTGACTGAGCAAGAATGGTCTAAAGTCCTATGATTTGTTTAGAGATATTAAGATTTAAAGTTTTATTCGATAATTGTTTCTGTAATAGCTATTAATTTTCTATTATGTAGTATTATTTTATTCTAATTAATGTTTCTCTATCAAATTGGCGGCATTTTTAACTGCTCGTTTGGGAGGAGCGTTACACTTCTCAACTAGTAAGGAGGTGGCGGTCCGCGAGCTCTGCAATCGTTCTCCAAAGAAAGCAGCCAGTGAGAACGAGGTCAGTGTTGTCCATCTTAGGGCTTCTCTAGTAGAGCAAAAGCAACCAAAACTACACGAATTAGGTAAAGATGATGATCGCGAGATGTACCAACTTGAGACTGTTGGGGCAGCCAAATGGTGCTGATGATGGAATGCCCATATTCAAACAGAGAAGTCATCGATTCAGAGTGGGTCTAATCGAGGTTGGGGATGAGAAAGATGTTTGTTCTGTTTCCATTTTTAGGTTTGTCTTTAGAAAATCTTCTTGAGCTTGCATTTTTTGATCACTTTTTTTTTTTTTTTTTCCTTTTTGAGAAATGACTCCATGAACTAAACAAATGGCCCGTTCTTTTCATTGATTCGAGTTTAAAATTCGAGTTTTGCTACAGTAAAAAGCTCTCAGAAACAGTCACATCTAACTTTTTTATTACAGTAAAAAGCTCTCACATAACATCACATCTCAACTCAAATTAAAAGCTCAAATTAGCGAACCGAACTAATACAAATTTTGTAAATGTCCTTAAACTGTTGGTTTTATGTCTACTTGCTCCATAAGTTATTTCTTTTGCGTCCAATTGCCCTTATGTTTTAAAAGTCAGGGAAAAAATTAAATTGATACAAAAATAATAATTCATGAGGCATTTATGAAATGACATTAGTTCAGGGAGTGCTTTGATCTACTTTTTATATTTTAGGGACAAAATGAATATTTTTAAAAATTTAGGGAACATGTTAAAATATAGAATAAAAAGTTCATTGTAGGAAATTAGTCTTAATCAAAATTGCAATGATTTAAGATTTTTAGTTACTTGATTCTCCAAACAAAAGTACATGAGCCAAACTATTAATTACTAAACAATTTAATGGCTAATGGTGTCAATTATTTGACATGTTCTAATAAATCCTAAAAAAATTCGTGTATTATAAAGATCAATGGTTGAGATTAGTATAAATTTTTTATTAATATTTCATTTAATAATTAGGAATATAAAATACTGAATTTGTCCTTTTAAAAACCCCACATGTGACATGCACATGTTAATATTTGTCCATTTTTTAGTAGTCTTTGGTCAAATAGGGTTGTAACAGTTATTGATTGTTAAAATTAAAAGTTTAAGGAGTAATTTGTTAAATTATAAAAAGTTTAGAGACGTGTTAAAAACTTATTTCTTTTTCATGGGTCATGACAATAATATATAAATATATATATATTGATTTTTTTAAAAAAAAAAAATTTGTTTTACTTCTTGGTACACTTTCTCTTAAAAACGAGTTTAAGGTAAAAGTTATTAATCAAACTATTAAAATGGTTGTAGAAATATTAAAAATTAAGAAAAATGTTGACACAAATGCGAGATAAATCTTACAGTTGAGAGTTGAGTAATAAATATAGTTTAAATGGAATTAATGAGTCAAGTAAAGTTTAGATTAAAACTCGGTTTTAATTGAACTAGCGAAATGAACTTTAGTTTCGTGAGTTGAGATTAAAACTCGGTTTAAATCTAATTTCATTTGCCAATAAAGTTAAATCTCTAGTTGAGCTAAAACTTAAATTGAAAATAAAGTACAACTTTTTTCACTAGAAAAGTAAAATATCTTATATGTGATCATGTTATCGAAACAAATTGTAAAAATATAAGAAAAATGAGATAAATATCTTTAGATTATATACATAAGAATTTTTATCACTTATTTTTAATTAATATTCTTTTTATTTAAATAGCTATATTAGGTAAAAGAGTATTAATCAATAATAAAGAGTAAAAATTTAAATTTCTGCATTTTAAGAATAAATTCAACAATTTTCTCAAATAATTTTGTGTATTTTATTTTTTTTAGCATATTTAATTCTCTGATTTACCTATTAAGACCATCGTAAATGGATGCAAATAGTTTTCAAAATTTTGGTAGTCACTCCCAGTTACTAAAAATAAGAGGACAAATATAAAAAAAAAAATTGCACATTATAAAGTTTTCCTTCTATATTTCCATTTTATTAAAAGAGTTAATTGACACGGATGATCCATAACCTCTTTAATAGTGACAGTTTAATCTTTATTTTTTTAATTTTGATAAAATAATCCCTAACGTTATTAAATTGATACAATTAAATCACATTTCCGTCCGATTCCGTTAAATTTTTAACGTATCCTTCATGTGACGATCATGTGCATCTATTTTTTGATGAAAATACAAAAATACCCTCATCTCTCACAAGAACCAACTTAAACCTGTTTTTTTTTTTTTTTTTTTTAAATAAAAATAAAAAACCAACTTATTTATGCTACAAAGTCCGATCCAACCCGAACCTTAACAAGAGCTGCCACCTCCATATCTGTGGGCGCCGCCGCAAGCCCAATCCAATGTCGAACTAAGCCTCAATACCACCTCCAGATTCCTACCACCCCTCTCTTTTGGAGTCCAATCGGATATTCACCATGAATTGCGGCATTGAGGCTTCAATTCCTAGGTCTTCTTTGGGTTATTACTCGTTTTCTTCTTCCCCACACCCGTCTGATTCCCCAACCAAAAAAAGCCCTCTGCTAATTTCAACGATCGGAGATTCAACCATGACAGGCAAGGCCAAGCCGAAGAAGCACACGGCGGAGGAGATTGCCGCCAAGATCGACGGGGGTTTTTTTTTGTTGTTTGGGGAAGTGTCTAGAGAAAAAAAGTGGGTCCTCTGTTGTTTCTCGTCTCTTGTTTAGGTGGTACTTGACAATGATGATGATGATGATGTATATTACCGATTATACCTTCGTGTTGGTTATAAAGATGATGAGGAGATAAATATATATGATATGTTGGAGGTTTTTTTTTTTTTTTTTTTTTTTTTTTGGTTTTCTTCTCTATTAGTTTGATTTTTCTCGTGTATAAAGTTATTTTCCTTTCTTTTTTAAAAATTGATTTGTTGTTTTTTTTTTTTTTAAATAATCTGATTTTTTATATTGATTATATTGAAACGGATTTTGATTTTACTTAAATATCCTTTTAAATTAGGTTACATAATCTGTACATGATACATTCCGTTAAAAATTTGATAAAAATAATTTAATTGTACCAATTTAATAACGTTAAGAATTATTTTATTAAAATTAAAAAAATAAAAATTAAATTGTCACTTATTAAAAAATTAAGACCATCCGTGTTAATTGCTGAAGTTTGAAGGCAACTTTTCGTGTTTTTTTTTTTTAATCAATACCGTTTAAGATGTTAGTTAAAACAAAAGAGATTAATCACGGATATCCAGCAAAACTCATGCTCACATCTGTCTTGTCTGATTATTATCCTCCAGATTCATAATTGTCCTTACTCCTTTATCTTTTTTTAAAGAAAAAGGAAAAAAAAAAGGGATAAAATTATCACACACTCATAATCAAATAAATAAAAAATGGTTTTTGCTCATAAATGTACAACAAATCAGATTCTACTCCCCTTCTATCTCTTGTCCTCATAGAATAAGGTCCAATTCCAAAGGCTTTATTAATATAAAAAAATCGAAAGGCTTTAAATAAATAAATAAACATTCTATCAACAAAAGAGAAAAAAGGAAAAAAAAAAACAATTTCCAATGGCTTTAAATAATTAAATTCTCTCTCTCATTTAAAGTTAAACCCCCCGCCTAAACCTCCTCCTTAATCCTAACCTTATATATAATCAAATTCTCTCTCTGCTGGTAAAGATACTAAACAAACAGTATCCCTCTCTCTCTCTCTCTAACTTTCTCTCTCTATCTGGGGACTCATCGGAGCTTCGTATGAGCGCCATACCCACACCGTCGGATCTCCATCCAATGGCGAGGCACATGAGTAACGGCGAAGCGGCCGAGCCGTCGCCGAAGCAACCGCCGGTGTTCGGCTCCTCCGCTTCCTTCAAGGCTCGGAAAAAGTCTCACGCCGGCGCGCCTGCCGCCGCCGCCGCGACGGTTGGCCGAGTCGGCGCTGAGGTCGACGACATCATCACTCTCCTCCACGGCTCCGATCCGGTCCGCGTCGAGCTCAACAGGCTTGAGAACGAATTTCGAGGTGAGTTTCCGGTGATTCTGATGTCCATTTCTGGAATGAAAAAAAAGTGAAAAAGTTTTGAGTTTTGTGAAGCGAGTGGCAATGCCTTGTGTGTATTATCGTTTTTTTAGCATCTTTGTCGATTTATTGGTTTGAATGTGCGTTTTGAGTTCTAATTGGGTAATCGTCTTATTCGTGCCTGGTTTTTGGTGTATTCGAGGAATTTTGTTGAAGAAAAAGTTTTGCGGTGTGAATTCTCAACAGATTCATGAATTTTCTCTCAGGAAGAAAGAAGTAATAGTAATGCATGTGTCTGCTCATATACATGCCGAATTTGTGTTGTACAATATTTTTGCAAAAGATGTAGGTTAATACGGACCTTCGAGAAAAAGTGATTGATGAAGGAAACAAAAATGGGAAAGTCTATTTGATGTTTTAATTTAACAATAAATCACCGAGAAACGTAGTATAAACACTCAATTCTTATCAAATTGGCGTTGTCCCCGTTTCTTGGAGCTCTCATATCCGGCAAGCGAAAAAGAAAAAATAAAATAAAATAAAATTTTACTTTCTGCTTAGTCGTTTAGAGGGGAGGTTGTTAGATACTTAAGAAAATTGTTGAATATTCTGATGTATTTAGAGCATTCGTTTCTGATTACGGTAGATATTTGAGCTGCTGTTTAACATAATGGACTGGCCTTCATGATTTAAGAACAACCAGACATCATTTTTATTTTTTATTTTTATTTTTAGCTGGAGTGATTGTGGTAAGTTACGGCATCATTGAAATAAATTACATAAGTAAATAATCTTTGTTAGTGAGAGGAAAATACATTGGAGATGGTATTTTAATTACTTAAATGGCGTTTGGGCTTTCCTTAAATTCTTTTGTTTTTTATGCATAAATAGTGTGGTTGTGGGAATTGATGATGGGTTTTCTGTATTGAGATAACAGATAAAGATAGGGAATTGGGAGATGCACTTGCAGAAATCAAATCCTTAAGGAACTCGGAACGCCTTAAAGAGAAGGCAGTTGAAGAGGTATTACATTTTGACACTAACTCCACTTTCTCTTATTGACACTGCCTCCATATGTGCTTGTAATTTTAACCTTACTCGTCATTTAGCAAGGAGATCATTTGCGTATGGCAGGACAATATGCCACTTCTAGAATTCCATTGTCACGTGATATGTGGTAATTGTATTTAGCAGATTAAAGTAACATGTTTTTGCAAAATAAGTGCGTATTTTGGAAAACCTGTGTCTGAACGCAAATATGTGTTATGGCAATTGATTTATCATTTATCTTGGTAAAAGAAGACAATAACTAAACTCCCACCGTTTTCTCTATGAGTTTAAATTGGAATCATACATACTAAAATAGAGACCAAAAGTGGGTTCATGCTAGACTTCCTGTGATTTATTTTATTTTATTTTTTGTTTTTTGGTGAATAATTTTGTGGGCCCTGTGTCTTCCTACTGTTTCTGAAAAAATAAATTGGTAGGATGATTCCAAACTTAGTAAGTTGGTTCCATGATAAACGGAAAAATGACCTTCTTTGTGTTTCATTTACTAGTAGTCGTCTTTTTGAAGAATCTTGATATATGTGATATATGTACATTGAACAATGCCATCTGGAAATTATTACTCATGATGTACGATAATTGTATTGTGTTTTAACAGTAATAGAATCATTTTAGTTTTTTATTCTTTAGTTCGGTCATACAGGTATCCTCATATTTCTTCGGTTATTTTTTCAGTTGACAGATGAGCTAAATAAAGTTGACGGAAAACTTAAAGCTTCTGAAGCCCTTTTGGAGAGCAAGGTATCCTTTTGCAGTGTTGTGTTTCTTTTCTTTTCTTTTTGTTTTTTTAAAGTTTCGTAAAAAAAGAAAATTGTATAATCATTCGCTAACCATATAATAGTGTTTTTTTATATTATTTTTTTTACTGGTTGAAAATTTACAAGGATTAGTATATCATGTTTGCAGAATCTTGAGATTAAAAAAATAAATGATGAGAAGAAAGCAGCTTTGGCTGCACAATTTGCCGCAGAAGCCACTCTTCGTAGAGTCCATGCTGCACAGAAGGATGATGAAATGCCTCCAATTGAGGCCATTATCACTCCACTGGAGGCAGAGCTTAAGCTTGCTAGGCAGGAGGTATAATTCCCTTAAGTAGTATGACTACCCTTGTCGACACTCGACATTTATGATGTTGTACTTCAATTATCAGCAATTATACAGTCTATAATTGAACACATTGCAAAGTATAACAAATGTCATTATACACAGATCAGTACCTCGGCTTCTTAGACTCTGGTTGGTTGTGCTTTTCTAGCCATTGCTATTTTTATTTGCTTTACTCAGTAGCTAGATTTTTCTCATGCACCATGCTTTCATATTCTAGGTAGCAAAGTTGCAGGATGATAATAGAGCACTTGATCGGCTAACAAAATCAAAGGAGGCTGCTCTGCTTGAGGCTGAGAGGACTGTTGAAATTGCCCTGGCAAAAGCATCCTTGGTTGATGATCTGCAAAACAAAAACCAAGAACTTCTGAAACAGATAGAAATTTGCCAGGTATCTTAAACGAAATTGAAAATTTCCCTTCACACAATTTCCATTGAAATGGGGTCGTATTTTTTGCTGTTTATGAATGGCTTCATAGCTTGATATGACATTTCTTGCTCATACACCAGGAAGAGAACAAAATCCTTGACAAAATGCATAGGCAAAAAGTTGCTGAGGTTGAAAAGCTGACTCAAACGGTTCGTGAGCTTGAAGAGGCTGTTCTGGCTGGTGGTGCTGCAGCCAATGCTGTGCGTGATTACCAGCGAAAAGTGCAAGAGATGAATGTAATTGACTGTATCCGGAATTCTATTTCTTGCGAATTACTTAGTGTATGTTTGGTATATGAGTTCTGCTACAGTGCAAACTCATGATTTTGGTTTGTTTTTCTCTCTCAAAAAAATTTAAATTTCAAAAGTCATAATCAAAAACCCTGATTTGAATCCATATACCAAACGGGCACTTAGTAGTTATTCCCAGATTGTGATATATGCAAATTGCTTCTAACCCTAAAGTTTATGTAGGAGGAGAGAAAAACTTTGGAGCGGGAGGTGGCTCGTGCCAAGGTTTCTGCAAACCGTGTAGCCACTGTAGTTGCAAATGAGTGGAAAGATGCCAATGACAAAGTCATGCCTGTAAAGCAATGGCTTGAAGAAAGAAAATTCTTTCAGGTATGTTAATACTGATCAGTTAAATGCCACCTTATCGTGTTTTATGTGTTTCATTTATTTGTCTGAATAATGATCTTTTTTTTTTTTTTATGAGAATTGAGACACTTTTATTAAAAACAAAAGCAAAAAAGGAGTACGAAACGGGATGTTGCTAGAAGTTGCATCTGTTTCGACTTTTTTTTACTTTTTTCTTTAAAAACTTGTAACAGTGCTATTACTCTTGAATTACCATTTAGTAAATACATTTGAATGCAATAATCTATGCTTCCATGATGCCTGGAAGAATATATGACGTCCTGTATTCCTGTCAGTTTTCTGTTGTGTTTTATAAGATTGAGGCAAAAGAAATGAGGAATTTCAGGAACTGGTTACACAGAAAAACTAAAGAATTTCATTGTCAGATTGTGTGTACTGGCTTGAAATGTTCAATACTTTATGTAGCAAAAAGACTGGGCGCTAAGAAAAGCATACCATTGCAATATAAGTTATATCCTTTGTTACTATTTAAAGGAAAAGGTTAAAATAGACAATAGAACAGAGATTTTAGGTTTCCTACATCAGAGGATTCATTTGGTTTCACTTCCACATGTAGGGAGAAATGCAACAGCTTCGGGATAAGTTGGCAATAGCAGAGCGCACTGCAAAGGCAGAAGCACAGCTAAAGGTGCCCTTTCCAGTTCTTTGTTTTCTTTATGTTTTCTCTTTTGTACAATCTTCTTGTTAGCTGATCATTATTTGATTTCTCAGGAAAAGTACCTAATGCGCTTCAAGGTTTTGGAGGAAAGGCTTAAACGATCTAATGCTGGTTCTCGCACAGCCTCAGAAGCAAGAAGCACAAGCAACGGGAGTTCAAGGCGCCAGTCCCTTGGCGGAGCTGAGAACTTCTCTAGATTGTCTGCCAATGGATATCTATCAAAAAGAATTTCAAATCCACAAGCAGGTCTCCAACGTTCCAATAGCGCTGCGGTGCTACTAAAGAATGCCAAGGTTTCATCAGGATCATTTGATGGTGGTAGCAGGTCAGTTGAAACAGATAAGCTGAAAGACAATGTACCCTCCAATGTCAGTGATCAGACGGAAATGACGGGGACAAATGGTAGAAAAGATGACGGTCCAAATGCCACTCCTACTGGAAATTCCAGAACAGAACGTGAAGATTATGTTTCAGGAATGTTGTATGACATGTTACAGAAAGAGGTTATAACTTTAAGGAAGGCCTGCAATGAGAAAGATCAGACCCTCAAGGATAAAGATGATGCCATTGAGGTTAGATAACTGTTTAATATTTCAGGCTAGCCTTGCCCTTAATTTTGACTCAACATTGTACTAACGTGTCTTTTCTAATGTGGAAACAAGTAGATGTTGACAAAGAAGGTTGACACATTAAACAAAGCAATGGAAGTTGAGGCGAAGAAAATGCGAAGGGAAGTGGCTACCATGGAAAAAGAAGTTGCCGCCATGCGTAATGGCAGTGAGCATGATCAGAGGACAAGGCGCCTTAGTGCTTCTAGAGCGGCGGTATCGATGACTCGTTCTCTTTCTACGAGGTAAATAATTATTTAGAAATTAAACATTTTGTCTGTAGATGGTTATGGTTTTTGTGTTCCTCTTTGTCCATGTGATTGATATCGACCTTTCTTTCTTTCTCCTTTTCCTTGACCTTCTTTTCCAGGATTGCAAGAAAGTAAATTGATGTTGTGCAATGACCAAATGTCAAAAATTTTACTCTCCGGCTCTGCCATCAATAGAATTTGTATGGTTTTGTCATGATTCTTTACTCATCAAATATCTGTGTCTATTTTAAGTATATTATTGGTCTAATTTGTAAAGAATGACTTCAGGCTTTTCAGGAAAACGTCCTGCAATGTATATTGCTTGTACTAATACAACTAAGAAATACCATTAAGAGTGGAATGAAATGGGCATAAGAGGTTTTATTAGATGACTCTTTTCAAGGTTTAATCCGACTGATAATCCTTGTCTGCCATACATATATATGTGTGTGTGTGTGTGTGTGTGTGTGTGTGGTAAAGAATTTGACTAGGCAGCTTTGAGGCCCAAACCTTACTGAAATTAAGATTTCCAGCTGGTGGCGAAACCCAACATTTCCCTTTAATTCTGACGCTCCATTTTCATTTTGCGCCGAAAGTGACCTTGACGGAAAACAGGGAAAGTACTGCACAGAGGTGGATGAAAACTTCTTGCCAGTGGCATATAGGTTACAAGACTTCATATACGAGCATCTGTTAGTGTACTGCCAAATTATTTTACCAATGTCAAAATTTGTGTTCTATCGAATAGGGTTGTACATCGGTCAGTGACTGACGATTTTCGTCAATTTGGTCACTGACTGATACTGTTAGTCGGAAAAATGAACACTGAGCACTGCCCAATAAAAGGAGAAACCGATGGTTCGGTAATCGACTTTTCTTGGTCGGTGACCGCTATCCACTATTGTGGTTGCATGGTAGTTTAGTTATTGAGCTTGGAGGAGAAGAGACGCCAAAGTGGTTTGTCAAAGGAGAAGAACAAGAAGAAAACGGTGGGAGGAGAGTAAAGGAGAAGAAAAAAGTGCGGGCTCAGGCTGGATATGTTTTGCTTAGTCCTGGGTAAAAGAATTGTGCTCTACCTGTGTGTACATTGGGGAAGGAGGATTTCGGATTGCAGTCACTAGCCGCAGAAAAATCTCAGAATCGAGCACCAGTTGAGGTGACATTCCGTGGTTCGGTTTCACAGATTGATGGTGTCACCCACCGCACTCTGGCGGTTTTTTCCGTTGGTTTCGGGCAAACTGTTGGTTGCTGGTAATTCTCGATTTTTGTTTTTGTTCACCCCTACTATCACATTAATGTGTTAATGCTCAATTTTGGAATTTGGGCAGAAAAACTACTCTCTAATATGGTGATATCTTGTGTTAAATTTAGCACATGCTATATACACTATTAGAAGCAGGTGTTAAAATTTTGCCACTTGGCTAAAATTTTGGCACTTAGCGACTATTGATCAATGTGATGACTTTTTATTTACTTCTCGTTTGGTAAGTAAGTTTGAATGGAAATTTAATTTTTTTTTATATGTAAAATATTATAAAAACGTAATGTTAATAATTAAGACATTGTCATTTTCAAGTTATATAAAAATTAAAATTTAATTCTTACATTATCTATAAAGCTTTATAATTTTTGAAGTAGCATCATGAACTCAAGCACAAAATTGACTGCTATTATAAAATAATAGCAAAAACTAAATATTGTAAAAAACTAAGAAGAACAAAAGAGAGCACAAAAGAAAGACGAGAAACAAAACAACATTGTATTCTTTCTTCACTTATGAGGGATGATATAAAATGCTCGTCCCACCTCTAATTTGTAGACAAATAACTATAAGTAGAGGTAAGAGCAAAGTGCATAAGTTACATGAATTACACACACATTAAGATAGGAATTATGGAGCTATGATACACAATATTAAGAGGGGAATTATGATACAAAAAAAAAAAGAGGGGAATTATGATGAGATAATTCAATTTGAATGTGGGGTTGTAAGTTGTAATAAAATGATGCTTGAAGATTATGGAATACCAAGAGGTGACATCCACACACAATTAATTTTGTGTGATATATATAAAATGGGCATTAACGTTTGCATTGAAGATAGTTTTAGTGCTAAATACAACGTCAAATATAACTCATATGTTGGCTTTTTATATGTGATTTTTATTGGTTGATATATTGAATTTTACTACATTGTTAATTTTAAGGCACTGTTTGGTAATGTTTTTGTTTACTTTTTTAAAACAAAAATATTTTCTCTTGTTTTTTGTTTTCATTTTTTCTTTTAAAAAATGCATTTGGTAACCCCTTTTGTTTTTTATTTTTGAAAATAAAAGGACAAAAGATACATTTAGAAGCTGTGGTTTGTTAAACATTGAAAAAAAAACATATCACGAGCCAACAAATAGGAAATGTGTCAAGATCGATAACTAAGTCGGGTCAACCAGTTGGGGCTAGTGATAGAGTTGGGTCAAGATCGATGTCGGGTTGGCCGATGGAGTTGAGATTGGTAGTGAGCTAGGTTGGGAGCTGAGATGACCCTCTTAGGTGGTCGTTACTGTAGCTGACTTTAATATATATATTTTTAAATGTTATATCATATTGAACATAAGTTTCTTTCCTTTAAAAAAAAAAAATGCTATAGCATATTGAACAGAAGTTTCTTTTGTTCTCTTTTTTTTTTTTAATTTTCTTTCTTAACTATAACAAAATATTTAAACGGCCGCATATTCTTTTCTCATAATGTAAATATTTAGATGTGTATACTGAATCGTTAAGTCCTGCTTATTTACATATACTAACTCGTCTTAATTAACAAAACTATTTATTACATAACACTTCTTACCAAAATATTTGCGAGCGGTATCCATTCCCCGATCTTCACACTGTTCGTCAACTACCTTGTCAATAGTTTATCAAATATTTGATGCAGGTTGCTTACCTACAGTATAAATACTCTATAATGAGCTTACGCTTAGCAAGTATGAACTATTTCTTGCAAAACAGCTGTAAGTTCACATGACTATATATGCATGAGCAAATTATGCTTACTTATGATATCTTATCATAGTCTTATTATCTGATCTTATGTTACTTACTGATGGGCCCAAGTGCTTGTACCATTTACGCGCAATCATCGGGACGTGAGGGTTTACAAGGTCCTCAGTGTTAGCGTTTATGCCCTTAGTAATAAATGTAACAATATTCTTTGAGACATTTTGACTATTAATAAAGATTTTTTTATTTCATATATCTATGTATTGTCCTCTTCATGTTCATAATAGTTGAATGTATGATAAGCAAATTGAAAGTCTGAGACTGTCATTCTAAATCTTTAGGTCATGCATGTAATGTGAAGAACATGCAGAAGACAAGAATCTAAAGATGATAGTCTAAATCTTATGATCCATAATCGAGGGAATAAAGTTGGGCGCTTTATTCATGTTAAGATTGTTATGTTGTCTACTTCCTAACGGAGATGACTTGTCTTGGTTGTCGGAGGTGGGACTCCATGGGTGGAGACATTGATATAGTTTCTAATGGTGAAATCTATATTTCATCGGACCAAAGTTGAATTGTTTTAATTAATAATTCTGTTTGAATAAAATAATTCACTTTTGACGAATTATATGTTGTCATCTTAATCCTGAGATGGATGATGAACCCGTATGCTTGACTTGTATCCTTTGAAGTACTAAAGGGAGACATCCTGACATTATGTAAAAGGTATGCTTGCCGGTACATTGGGGGTATGACTCGTGTATGCGTAGATTCGTTATTCATAGATAGTGGAATCCAGAGCTCCTATAGAGAGTCAATGATATCCTCTTATGCATTATCAGTGGATTGGAAAATACGAGCGCTGGCCATTAGACTACTCTGTGTTATCTAATGGTTTACTGTTTGTAATGATACGAATAGTATTTTTCCGATGGTATGATAATGGAACATAAGATAAATGTAATC